TTCATTTAAATAGGGGAAAAACATCTGAATTAAAATAAATAATGTTCATTTGAATAGGGAAAAATTCGAATTTCTTTTATTAGGTTGGGTTTCGGGCTCGGGCTCAGGCTTCAAGCTTTTTATCAGGGTCGGGCTCGGGCCCAAGTTGTAGGCCCGTTGGTCGGGCCGGGCTCGGGCTCGGGCTCGGGCCTAACATTTTTCTGTTAATAAAGAGTAAAAGCCCGGCCCATGAACAGGTCTAGCTGTGCCACATCCTTCTTAGTAGAGTTATGCCATTCTTTTCTTCCTTCGCTGCTTGAAGACGCTAGAGCTGCGCCGGCTGGGCTGCTTTTTTTGCTGCCCTGTGCCCCACCCGTATAGAGATGGGCGGTGTGCAATACCTGCCAATGGCGATTAAGTATTTATGCCTGCAAAGACTAACTATTGATTAAGCCACCAAGCTCAGACTTTTTTGAGTAACGATTAGGGGTTGACTAAGTGCTATTTGAAACTTTATAATTTTGTCACAAAGTTGAATAACACTTAAGCTCATCTACAAGTAAGGCATTATCTATAAGAGGTAGACGAGTTCTAGATAGGGGTGGCAACGAGACGAGTTTTTCATGAGTTATTCGAGTTCGGATCGTGAAAAGCTCAACTCGTTTCAGTTTAAATTGAGCTTCGAGCCCAATTTACAGGTTCATTTGCTAATCGAGCTGAGCTCGAGCCTAATAAAGATTGGCTCGTAGGCTCGCGAGCCTAATCGAGCTTCTACATATATATTATATATATAATATTTTTATTTTTATATATTATAATAATAACTAATTACTATTTTTTTAAATATCAAATAAAAATAAATTAATATATATATATATATATATTACTTTTATAAAGCATTTGACTCACGATCAAACTCAAGTCATGTCGAGCTCGAGCTTATGACTTTTGACTCGAGCCAAACTCAATCTCAAGTCTTTAGCTCGAGCCTCATACTGTCTTAGCGAACTGAGCTCAAATAACTAGCTATTTGGCTCGGCTCGACTCGAATCCACCCCTAGTTCTAGACTAAGCCAACTCCAACTACCTTTCTTGCAACAATCAATCAATTAAGTAATCTGGTCCCCATATTTATCATGGATCATTGTGAATTAGATTGCTTCTTTTTAACTCTCCAAGAAACTATTGGATCATCAGGAATTTCTTCTAAATGGTAGTAATGGGAAACATGCCCTCTTCTAGAGCAAGATGTGCAAATTTTACTTGTTTGTTTTGAGGTCAGACCCCTTTCAAACTTGGTTCTAGGATTGGGATTCCTACGGGGGTTGAGTGTAACCTAAACCACTTTTATCACTAGTCAATTTTTGTTTACCAAGCATCTTGTTAAAATTATTGGTCACACTAGTGAAGCTTTCTACAACCTTTGTATTTTCCTTTCTTACTTCTTGAACTTCAGCCTTTAAGCTAAGGTTTAAAGTAGCAAACTGTTTTATCACTTCAAAGTTCAAACTCCTAGCTTTATTAAGGAATTAAGAGAAGATCAGGATTGTTAGGTTGTTATGATAAGGATAAGAGACAGTGTAGAGATTAGGATAGAATTTTAGTTGGTAGATTCCCAATTGAATTAGGACCTCTTAGTCAATAGTCTATAGATATTGAATGTAATTCTCAATTCATTAAATGCAATTTATTCACCTTTTCTGAAATCTTTTATGGTATCGAAGCCAAAGGTTCATCCTAAAGGCTTTCTCATTTGTCTGGCGGGTGGCCACCTCTTAGCCACTCGTCGGGTCTGCTCTCTTAGCTTAAATATTAGGTTTCCTTTCTTCATATTATAATTCTTTTATATTGACCTTTCCTTCACCAAATCTATCATAACCACCACTCATCATCAAGTCCCAAAGTCTCATGTCTCAAACCAGCCACTCTTTTGATCAATGAAGACAAAAGCAGGGTATCCAAGCCACCGTTCAAACCTGCCATCTCAGTTCAGTAGATCCATTACTGTTCAACCAAGGTTCAAAGTATCAGCATGTATTGACCCATATCGATCAATATGTATCGTTATAGGACTCTTTTGATATGCCCCTACAGTAGGTGTGGGTGTATCGGAGTCTGACCGGTTCAGGGGGTGGAGGAGACCTAAACTTGCCCCCCTGAACTGGTTGCGAGAAAAAAAAAAAAAACACAACAAAAAGCAGTATTGATTCGCTCGATACACCCCTACTGGCGTATCGGGCATATCGATATTTTGAACCTTGTGTTCAACACCACCGACCTACTAATACACTAATAACAGATCCTATAGAAGCTCCAGAGATGGATCCAGTCACCTATTTCACCTTTCATTTGGATCTGTTCAAACTTTAGTGAACAATGAGTTACTCTTTGGAGCTCTAGCAATGATCAAGGTTGTGACTTGTGAATCTAGTGATCCCCTACTCTGATGCTCACCATTCTCCGACTGCCAACAATGGACCTACAACAACTACTGTAGATTAAAAAAGAATGCAAGACATCATCACAATCCAAACAAGATACAGTCCAACACATTCGCCTACATATGGGGGTTCCTCCACATCATCAGTTTTTCAATCATGGTGGATAAATAAAAGTAAACTCAGGGGGTGAGACTTGAGAGTAGGACCTTTAACTTTACATGCAATGGTAAATGAGAAGCAACCAACAACCACAATTTTCAGGATTAGGAGCTACGAGGAGTCAGTTATTTTCAAAGTTTAAAGTATCGATACGTATCATATCGAGAGCTTTCTGCTACTCTCCTACAAGGGGTGTTTCGAAGTCTCGACCGATACGGAGGGTGAACAAACCTTAAACCAGCCCCTCTAAACCAGATTCAAAAAAAAAACTAAAAAAAAAATACACCACTACCGTCGTATTTGCATAATATAGCTCATGAATCCTAATTGATTAAGAAATCTTGATAGTAACTCCTAAATATTTTGGACCAGGTCCAATCCAATCTAATAAATATTTTGGACCAGATTGGTCCAATCCAATATGTCCGGTTGGTCCATCAAATCCATGCAAATTAATTTTGGACGGGATGGGGTCTAGTCCAAAACTGGTCCATTAACACCCATACTACTACTTTTTCATTGTATGGATGACGTCTTAGTTGGTCGAAGCTACCACGTGATCTACCATTGTATAGGCTTCAGACCATGTCGGCACACGTCATGGAGAGGCCTCACGAGGAAACAAAATCCCACATAGACAAGGAGACGTAGCCCGCTAGGGAGAGCGGAACCTCTCGAGAACCTCGGTGGGTGACCTCATCTTGACAACCCCGTGGACCTCATCCAACTACAACACGTGTGTTCGATCTATATAAAGGCATCTCCCCCTCAAGGTAAGCTCTATGGGATCTAGCACACATTACTCTCCTTGGCTTGGACCAACTCTCTACCTGCTCGGCCCAACCAGTCTCTCTCTCTCTTCATTACTGACTTGAGCGTCGAAGTGCTTACTCGAGGATAAATTCCTCAGGCCTCTGATTCTCCCTATGCTTACAGACTACAGTGCATGGCCTTGTCCTTCTGCCTCGATTTCATCCAGTTGGCAGGACTATTTGCTGCTTATTCAACTCGACACACCTCAAATTGAATAGCATCATTCACCTCATTCAATTCTCTCTATTTAAATCTTACATTTCTTTGACAAATGAACAAAAAAAGATACACCAAAAATATATAACATTACAAAATGAATAATTTAGCCAAGTAGGTAGGCCTATCAATAATACTTGAAGCTTCACAACTCTATCCGGTGATATTTGGATGAGGTGTTTTATGTAATCAAATTTTGATTTTGCAATTTGCATCCTATTAATAATAAAAATCAAGATATAAAAATAAAAAATAAAAAAATACATATTAATATAAATTCTTGATACATTATTACTATCATTATCATCATCTAAAATTACCACATGCAGAGCATATGCATGCTTACTAGTGTGTCTAAGTATATACTTTAGCAACGAATAATGTATAAATATATTTTACATATGTTATATGTATTATTTTATACTTAATATATATTTTTTAATTCAAATTTTTATTTATAAAATATTAAAAATTGCAATTTTAGACCAAAAAAGAGGTATTTTCGTAAAAATAGCAGGGCAAGGCGCCTACGTCACATTGGAATGCATAGGTCTTAAAAAGTTACCCAAAATAAAAAAAAAATCACCCCAATCGGACATTGGAGTGCAAAGTCATGGCCTCCAAAAGTTTGCATCTATTCAATGTGCAACCTGCAACCCAGTCACTGAGTCAAACGGGTCAACAGTCAAACGGTTCTTGACCAAGTCAATGGTTTTTGACTATCTAAGGAGTCTTGATTGAACCAACCCAAAATCTTGGCCAGGTGACAGTTCGACCGACTGGGTCAACGACAGGTTAAAAACATTGGTTTTATTGTATCACTTTTATGGCTTAGAAATAATATCCATGTGTATCTAGAGAAATCAGCAATTATTACTAATACATATGACTTGCCTCCTAAACTAATAGTCTTCATGGGTCCAAAAAGATCTAATGAAGTAGTTGAAGAGGCCTTGATGTGAACAAGTGCTTCTTTCATTTGGAAGATATTTTAATTTGTTTACCAAATTGACATGCTTCACAAATTTTATCTTTAGAGAATTTTAATTTGAGAAGACCTTCCACTAGATTGTTCTTAGCCAAGTTATTTATTTAATCCATTCTAGAATGGCCTAATCTCCTTTGTCATAACAAGTATTTTTTTTCCAAAATAGCTAAGCATCATACATTATTACTTTCTATTTTTGCAAAATCAACAACACAAACATTGTTTACTCTAGAGCCTACTAGAATTAATTGCTATGCCACATCCTTCTTAGTAGAGTTATGCCATTCTTTTCTTCCTTCGCTGCTTGAAGACGCTAGAGCTGCGCCGGCTGGGCCGCTTCGCTGCCCTGTGCCCCACCCAAGCCCGTATAGAGATGGGCGGTGTGCAATACCCGCCAATGGCGATTAAATATTTATGCCTGCRAAGACTAACTATTGATTAAGCCACCAAGCTAAGACTTTTTCGAGTAACGATTAGGGGTTGACTAAGTGCTATTTGAAACCTTATAATTTTGTCACAAAGTTGAATAACGCTTAAGCTCATCTACAAGTAAGACGTTATCTATAAGAGGTAGAAGAGTTCTAGATAGGGGTGGCAACGAGCCGAGTTTTTCATGAGCTATTCGAGTTCAGATCGTGAAAACGCACAACTCGGTTTAGTTTAAATTGAGTTTCGAGCCCAATTTACAGGTTCATTTGTTAATCGAGCTGAGCTCGAGCCTAATAATGCTTGGCTCGTAGGGTCGCGAGCCTAATCGAGCTTCTACATATATATTATATATAATACTTTTATTTTTATATATTATAATAATAACAACTAATTATTAATTTTTAAATATCAAATAAAAATAAATTTTTTATATATTTTCTTTACTTTTATAAAGCATTTGACTCATGATCAAACTTGAATCCTGCCGAGCTCGAGCTTATGAACTTTTGACTCAAGCCGAACTCGATCTCAAGTCTTTAGCTCGAGCCTCATACTGTCTTAGCGAAATGAGCTCAAATAACTAGCTATTTGGCTCGACTCGACTCGAATCCACCCCTAGTTCTAGACTGAACCAACTCCAACTATCTTCCTTGCAACAATCAATCAAGTATGTAATATGGTCCCCATCTTTATCATGGGTCATTGTAAATTAGTTGCTTCTTTTTAACTCTCCAAGAAACTATTGGATCATCGGGAATTTCTTCTAAATGGTAATAATGAGAAACATGCCCTCTTCTAGAGATGTGCAAATTTTACTTGTTTGTTTAGAGGTTAAACCCCTTTCAAACTTGGTTCTAGGATTGGGATTCCTAGGGGTTACCAAGCATCTTGTTAAAATTATTGGTCACACCAGTGAAGCTTTCTACAACCTTTGTATTTTCCTTTCTTGGTTCTTGAACTTCAGCCTTTAAGCTAAAGTTTAAAGTAGCAAACTGTTTTATCACTTCAAAGTTCAATTGGTAGATTCCCAATTGAATTAGGACCTCTTAGTCAATAGTCTATAGATATTGAATGTAATTCTCAATTCATTAAATGCAATTTATTCACCTTTTTTTCTGAAATCTTTTATGGTATCGAAGCCAAAAGGTTCATCCTAAAGGCTTTCTCATTTGTCTGGCAGGTGGACACCTCTTAGTCATTCGTCGAATCTGCTCTCTTAGCTTAAATATTAGGTTTCCTTTCTTCATATTATAATTCTTTTATATTGACATTTCCTTCACCAAATCTATCATAACCACCACTCATCAAGTCCCAAAGTCTCGTGTCTCAAACCAGCAACTCTTTTGATCAATGGAGACAAAGCAGGGTATCCAAGCCACTGTTCAAACCTGCCATCTCAATTCAGTAGAGCCATTACTGTTCAACCAAGGTTCAAAATATCGACATGTATCAGCTCATATTGATCAATATATATCATTCTATGACCCTTCCGATACACCCTTACAGTGGGTATGAGTGTATCGGGGTCCGATCGGTTCAAGGAGTGGAGGAGTCCTAAACCGGCCCCTCTGAACTGGTTGCGAAAAAAAAAACACAACAAAAAGCAGTATCGGTTTGCCCGATACACCCCTACTGACGTATTGGACATATCGATATTTTGAACCTTGTGTTCAACACCACCAACCTACTAATGCACTAATAACAAATCCTATAGAAGCTCCAGAGATGAATCTAGTCACCTATTTCACCTTTCATTTAGATCTCTATTCAAACTTTAGTGAACAATGAGTTACTCTTTGGAGCTCTAGCAATGATCAAGGTTGTGACTTGTGAATCTTGTGATCCCCTACTCTGATGCTCACCATTCTCCAACTGCCAACAATGAACTTACAACTACTGTAGATTAAAAAAGAATGCAACACATCATCACAATCCAAACAAGTTTCAGTCCAACACGTTCGCCTACAAATGGTGGTTCCTCCACATCACCAGCTTTTCAATCATGGTGGATAAATAAAAGTAACTCAGGGGGTGAGACTTGAGAGTAGAAGGACCTTTAACCTTACATGCAATGGTAAGTGAGAAGAAACCAACAACCACAATCTTCAGGATTAGGAGCGAGGAATCGATTATTTTCAAGGTTTAAAGTATCAATACATATCATATCGGGAGCTTCCTGATACTCCCCTACAGGGAGTGTTTCGGAGTCTCAACTGATTCAGAGGGTGAACAAACCTTAAACCAGCCCCTCTAAACCAGATTCAAAAAAAAAAACTAAAAAAAAAAAATACACCACTACCGTCGTATCTGCATAATATAGCTCATGAATCCTAATTGATTAAGAAATCTTGCTAGTAACTCCTAAAACATAGAATAGAAGTGCTATTGCCATTGAAATGTAGATATTTTGAAAACTTTGCTTTAAAAGATTTATTAAAACTTGTTAATATATGTTAAATATTATAAATTTCTAATCTAAAAATGGAGTGAAAATATCCTTGATCACGACCTTACCCAAAAATACCAAAAAAAAAAAAAACCCAAATTACATCATAAACTCTAATTGCATTTTATACCCTCCTCTCTTTTAATGAATGTTGATTTAAGTTACTTCAAATCTAATTTTCCATTAAATCTAGCAGCTCTACTGACCAAGAGATATCTCATCTTCAAGGCCCAAGATATGATTGCAAGATCCAGATTCACACAAGAGGCCAGGTCACAAGGGTTTTTCCGAGGTGTTCTGATTAGAGTCCCATATTCATGGACTTCATAGTGTTGGAGGGCAAGGTTCAAAGTATCGATACTGGCCGATATGCCTACGTGCCGGCCGGTATCGTCCCTTTTTTCAAGTATTTCTTATTTTTTTTGGTTTTGGTTCAGAGGGCTAGTTTAAGTCCTAACTACCCTCTAAACCAGGTCCTGACCCGTAGGAGCGTATTAGGAAGGTCCCAATACGATACATATTGACCGACCGATACAAGCCGATACGTAACTATTTTTTTTTATCCTTGTTCGAGATGCAGTCATATATATGAAAAATGCTTAGTCACTTCTCAAGTGGTTAAAGAAAAAAACGTACTACAACTGTTTCAAATTAAAGAGTTGTTTTTAGGAGCATGGAAAATTTAGACGTCTCTTGTTTAATGACTTCCATGCAAGAGATAAATAGGCAATGAGAGGCAAAAAATTTAGAACTGGAACTGCATCTCTGAAGTGTAACCAAGTTCTTCAAGGTGTGCAGCCATGGCCTTGTTCATGGGTGGTGGGCCACACCTCAAAATCTGCAAATAATGGGATTAAAGTTCAGCACTAAATTTTATATACATAATAATGTAAATAATGGTCTGAATCCGAATCGGTGCATAGTAAGATATTGAGTCAATGTAGATAGTTTAATCTACCTGGACATCAGCTGCTGGTAGTGGGCAGTGGGTCTTAATCATTTCCTTGGATACGAACCCAACGCCACCATTCCATACCTCTGGAGGCTGTGGGATTTAAAGCAGGCATCATCAGAAATTGATGTATACTTTACTAACAACAGTGGCAAAAGAGAAACATTATGCTAATGACAAGAAACCAGAATTAAGTATAAAGTAAGCAATGATTAAGAAGTTAGTCATCAACCTGCAAACATGAAATCTGGATTTCGTCCTCACAATACTTCAGGCATGCATTATTGAGAATATCTTCCATTAATGAAAACATACAAGTACGGAGATGTTCGGATTGTTGAGGATGGTGTGAGGACAAATTTTGTGAAGATATAATCCAACTAAATGGATATGGTATGAAACTTAAAGATTTTGTTTTTCTATATTTTGTATTACAGTGTTTTAGTAATCGTTTTAAAAGACGACCCAAGTACTTTTTCATGAGTGGCAGTTCAACCATTTGGAATTTTGGATCAAACAGGTCAACCCTATAGTGTAAATACAATAAATAATGCATAAGCTATATACAAAAATATAAAAATTACAGAAATATGTAAAAATAATTGGATGTCTTTAATTAATTATACATTCATCATATTCTATTAAACAAAAATAAAAAAAAAAAAGTGTGAGAAGTGAGAATTATTGACTAAACATACAAGAAAAAGAAAAAAAATAAATACATACCTACTGATGGTTCAACAGTTCAACCAGTAAGGTCAACAGGAATAAAATTTTTCAATCTATTTTTTTCTTACAGCAGGGAAATAGATCTTTGGAAGATTACTATTCTGAAATGATGGGTCTATGTGAAGAATTTAATATTTATCAACTCATTTCCTCAAATATTACAGTTATGGAGAATCAGATGAAGGATTCATGTGTTGCAAAGCTTCTTTCTATGATTAAATCGGAGTATGAGTTGGTTTGATCTTAGGCAGCCCTGAGTTGCCTTGTTTGGAGGACTAGGAGTCTAGGAGGTTTTCTCTTGACTTCAGAGGGCAAAATTATCAGAGAATCATCCAACACCCACGGTAGATCAATCTGCATTGGCAGTTTATGGAAGTGTTGGCTGTGGGGGTCTTAGTAGTCATAGAGGTGGACATGCATCTAGTGGTCGAGGTAATCCTATTATAGTGGCTGGTCGTGAGTGTGGTGGAACCACGAATACCAGATTTTGCACCTATTGTTTGGATGAGAACATGATTGATTATTGAAGAGATTTACATGGTGTACGTGTCTGTACATATTATAATCGTGAGGACACATGGTTGACGTTTCTAGGCTGCTTACGAGACCTGGGAGTTATGTAAATTAGGTCTCATATCATGATGACACCTCATCTGCCCCTTGGCAGTCATGTATGAGTTCCTAACAATCTGAATGTGAGACGATGACAATTTCGAAAGAGCATGCTTTATTGGTAGTTACTGCACCAACATCTTCCATTGCTTACTCTTGCACATGCATCAGGTACTGGCTCCACCTGCCTTCTGTTTGCCAAGTCTGGCATGTATCTGGAGTTGGACAAATTTGCTCTACACCTCAACTATTTTTGTCTTCAGTATTTTCAGTATCTTATGTTTCTCAATTTCCATTTAACCTCTGTTAATGAGTAAACTTACAGACACTAATATAATATCCCTCTTGTTGCGTTTTACAAGACATAAAAGATGAAGAGGCAGATTAGTGGAGGGCTTGAGTCAAGTGGTCTTTATTATCTTGATGGTGAATGGATAGTCTTTATTGTCTGCAGATACATCGTTCTAGCTCATTTGCCAATTGGTTCATCCGTCATTAAGAGTTCGCGTGTTTTGTTTCCAGCTTTTCAATCAGTTCCTTCCATTGATTGTGAGGCATGCCAATTCAGCAAGCATCATCAGGCACCATTTCCTCCATGGGGCTTTGAGAGTCATGTGTCTAAATCATTTCAACTTGTTCGTTCTGAATTTCTGATCTATGGGGTCCTTGTCTAGTCACTTGTTATATATTTGATGAAAGATTTGAGCTGTTTTCTATTTTCAAACATTTTTTATGGAAATAATAACTCAGTTTGGCATCACTATTTGTGCTCAAACATATTATGTTCATATACCACAACAAAATGGTGTAGCAAAATGTACAAATCACCATCTTTTTAGAAGTGACTAGAGCTCTTCCTATTATTCAAATGAGTGTTCCAAACAAATATTGGAGTGATGGTGTTCCCACTGTATGTTATCTTATTAACAGGATGACTTTATCTGTGTTAGGAAATAAGATTCCATAATTTGTTCTCTCCCCTTCTATGTAGTTGTTCCATCCACATAGATTAGGATGTGTATGTTTTGTTCACTTGTTTGATTCTAATATCTTGATAAATGTGAACCCCGTTCTATGAAATGTGTATTTATGGGATGCTACAAGACAGAGAAAGGGTATCTCACTTTGTTAGTACTGATGTCACTTTTCATGAATCTGCAACCTTATTTCTCTATGTCCTCTTCCTCTTCATCCTCTTCATATGACCAGTAAAAGTGTACGTACACGTGGCAATATCAAATGATGATGATAATAGTAAGCAACCAAATGAAACCATTAACCTATTTAACCAGGAAAATGGACTATGATTAAGACATTAATTAATGGACTATGATTAAGACATTAATTCATTTTTTTCTTTGTATTTTAGTCATTTATATCTTTACTAACAATAATTTTTATTTTTCAAACATTTTTTGTTTAATATGAAGAATATATAATATCAATGCATGTTCATATTTTTCTATAAAATTTATAAAAAATCCTATATTTTCATTTTTAATATTTAATTTATGAGATAATAAAAATTACTTATTTACCAAGAGGAAATGCAATTCCAATATATTGTTTGAATATTGGTTTTTAATGTTGTGGTCAAATCAATTATTTATATATAATATATATGTTATTTATTATTTATTTATAAATATGTTATTTATATTGCATTTTTGTAAACTTTTTATATGATGGAAATAGTTGAAGAAATACTTATATTTTTTGTTTTTTTATTTCAACTATTATGTTTTTCTTTTTTTTTAAATAATTTATTACTTTTTTAAAAAATTAAATCAGATCGTATCAAATTCAAATATCTAACATCTTGATCGGATTCGGATTTGGATTCGGATTCGAATCAATATTTATGAGATCCAATTGAATCTATAGGTCAGATCAAATTCGAATCAAATCTGATCTGATTTGTTTGCATCCCTACCAAACCACTTGCCTACGATGACCTAGCTAATTAAATTATTAAACCATTTGACATGGTTAGTCGGGTCACGTGTAAGACATTAATGCTCTTTATTTTTTATCCTAATTTTTACCCATTTCTATCATTAATGAAAATAATTCTCATTAATCACACTTTTTTATATGATGAATATATAATATTATAGAATGTATCCAAAATTATCAACAAATTTCTACATTTTCTAGAATTTTATGTATTTTATTATTTAATAATAACATTCATTTGACATGGATAGTTTAACCACCAATCCACCACTTGGATGGAAAAACCATTTTGCTTTTTTGGCTGATTTTAAATCATGTATTCTATTTTCATCATCGATAGAAGTAATTCTTACATCAAACCGGTTTTAAATTTTGCATTTCATTTATATCATTGATAAAATAATTATTATTTATCATACTTATTTTTGTTTATATTATTAGTATATAATATTATAGATGTGCCCAAAATTATTTCATATTTTTTGTACTATTCTATTTTTAAAAAAAATATATTTTTAATTATGCATCATGAATTAACCTATTTGACTTGAAAGGTTGAACCACTAACCCATTCCCTAGATAGGAAGACGGTTTAATTTTCCATCGGTTTTAAGTTGTATATTTGATGTCCATCATTAATCAAATTATGTCTATTTTATCATAGTTATTTTTTAATATGACAAATATATAATAATAGAAATGTGTCCAATTTTTTTCAAACTTTTTTCTATAGTTTTTGTATTTTTTATATTTCTAAATTTGTATTATTTATTTATGATATCATGAAATTATTCATTTGACCTAAATGGTTGAAGTACTTACCCATGACCTAGATGGAAAATATGATTTCATTTCTAGGTTTATTTTAAAAATATAAAATTCCATTCTATTAATAATTATTGTGTATGCATTTATTAGTGGAATTTAATGATGATAAACAAAAGTATTTTTTATATTTTTAAATTTGTATTATTTATTTATGACATCATGAAATTCTCCATTTGACCCAATTGGTTGAACTACTTACCCACCACCAAGATGAAAAATATGATTTCATTTCTGTGTATTTTAAAAATATAAAATTTCATTCTATTAATAATTATTGTGTATGGATTTTTTAGTGGAATTTAATGATGATAAACAAAAGTATAAATGTTGGATCCAATAATATAGAATGTGATTTATTTAATGACTTAAATGTGAGACTTGATGAGAGGTAATTGAATGTACTTAATGGTATTCTTTTAATTACACTTTCTACCCTTTTAATGGAGATGAACTAAATTCAAGAGATGGGGCATTTCAGTAAAGAAAAATTCCAGAAGCCAATACCTCCTCATTCGCACTTTTATTAGTATAGATTCTTTCACCCAAGCCATATCACACAAGTTTACAATAAGACTGTTTGGTTTGGAAGAAAAGGTAGCGAGAGGAAAGTGTATAGGTTTCCTTACCTTTCCCTTTTCATACCTTTTCTTTCAAACCAAACACAGCCTAAGAAAGGCCAAGAGATCTTGGATTGTCCATCCTTTATGCCATTTTTGTTTCCTATGATTCACTGTCTCATTCAGCCCATGCTTTTATCTCATATCTGTCTGCAACTCCTACTACTAAGTATATGCAAACTGATCCTATGTGGAAGACAGCTATGGAAAAAGAAACGTCAGCCTTACACTAAAATGGAATTCGGGTGCTTGTTCCTCTTCTTCTGGTAAGAAAGTAGTGAGACGTCAGTGGGTGTAGATATGAAGTTTCAACCAGATGGAATGGAACTCTTGAGAAGGCAAGACTTGTAG